GAAAGAGGTGGGGCAGGGGTGGGAAGAGGCGGGGCAGTGGCAGGGGCTTGGTGGAAGGGGTGGAGTGGGGGCGAGGCCTGGGGCGGGGTGGGGGGCGAGTACCCCCAGCTAAAGGAGAAGTCCGTGCCTATGTCCCCATTAAAAAGATCTTGTTAACAGCTCTTTCTCCGGAGCAGTCATTTCATGTCCTGCCTCCTTGGGCACATGCACTAGGATACCACCCGTAAGTACATGATCGCAAACAGGGAGAATAACCAATCGGCAAAGGTAGAGCTGCGATTGTGACACTAGCGACTGTTTTCTTCGTTGCTCCGCAGGTGACAACAGACTGCAGAGCTTTGAAAGAGAAATACGACTCATTTTCCACCAAGGTAATTGAAGATGCCATTCCAGTATCTTGTGCCTGATTTCCTAAAGCTTTCCTCCCACCAGCGAATGCAATTCCTTGTGGGACAGATTGTGCCATGTTCACACAGTCCATGGCAGGCGGTATTACATCTGAATCCTCCTACGCCTCCTGGCTACGTGGAGGAAACACGCTTGCCTCATGGGGCCTTGCATACTTTCCCCTGTGGTCCTCCGGGTTCTGCTTTGTGGAAGGGGGAGGGCAGGGCCACGGATCCACATCTTCTTTGCCTCTCCCTACCCAAGACATCGGGCTGTAGAAAGCCAACGGTCTCTGTGCTCCCATCTGCCCTGTGTTTGTGTAGTGAAGACAGGACCCTCCTCCATTCCTATGGAACCCACTTGGCATCTCTTCTTCTCAGCCTGGGTCTCTGAGTGGCATCCAGCTATGTGTCCTCATCCATGGTTATTTCAATGCGATACCCTTCCTCGGTGTACCTGCCCTCCACCATTATTTTTACTCCGTACGACAGTTGCTCTCAACCTTTCAGGAGTCTGATTTTCTTGCATACCCCAAGCTTCACCCCACTAAAAACCACTTGCTTACAAAATCAGACCTAAAAATCCAAAAGTGTCACAGCACATTATTACTGGGAAATTGCTGCCTTCTCATTTTTACCCTATGCTTATAAAATGAATCGATTGGCATATAAATATTGTCCTTACATTGCAGTGTATAGTACATAGAGCAGTACACACACGTCATTGTCTGTAGGAAATTTTAGTTTGCACTGACTTCACTGGTGCTGTTTCTGTAGCCTGCTGTAAAACTAGGCAAATATCTACATGAGTTGATGTACCCCCTTGGAGACCTCTGCGTTCCCCTGGGGATACGTGTACCCCTGGTTGAGAACCACGGCTGTAGGAGGTGTGACCTAGACCATGGCTGTTTAATCAAAGGCAATACAATCTTGCTATGGACACTCTGAATGAAATCCTGCCCCACTGAAATCAATGACAAAGTTGATTTCACTGGGGTCAGGATTTCACACGGTGACTCAAAAGGGATGAGGGATTGTGTCCTGAATGGGATCATCAGCCTTACTGCAGTGATTGGTTATGAGGAAGCTGACAAATCACACAGGAGGGTGGTTGATGTTTGGGATGGTGTTCCAGTCAGCCGGGACCGTAAGGCCATGTCTACACTAACACTAGGAGTTGATCTAAGTTACGCTAGTTAAGTTCCATAACTTAAGTCGACGTCTGTGCCACGCTATGTTGACGGGAGACACTCTCCCATCAATTTAGCTTCTGCCCCTCATTGAGGTGGAGTATTGAGCTCTCCCATCGACTTATCGCGTCTTCACCAGGCCCGCTAAATCGACGCCGGCTGCATCAATGAAGCGGCACCGATTGAGCATAGTAGTGCAGACAAGGCCTAAGTCACTTTGTTTCTCCCGGCCTCCAGCTTGAGGAAGTCTTTGTTGTGGAAGCTGGGGGGCCGCTCCCTGACACCACCAGCCTTTCAGTCACTCAAGCTCCCTCCTCTGGGCTGTGCCAGTCGTAGCTTTGCCTTGCAGGCGGTTAACAGTACGTGAACCCCAGTCCCCGAGACTCATTCCCCTGTGATATCCAGTCCCTGCCGCTGGCTACTCAGAAATCCCAGCTCCTCTGCAGTGTACCTCAGTTTACCAGTTTACTTTAAACCACCACTCCTGTAAACCACATAGCCCTGGTGAGCACTTAGAACGGAAGAAGGTTTGTTTGAGAAAGAAGAAGTATTTAACTAGAATTGAGAGAAAGTGATAGAAGCAAATGGCTAGAACATAATAGCATAAAACACAAAGCGGGGTGTCCCCGTCTCAATAGTTACCTTTCCAATATACTCAAGTCGGCTTCCCCTGCAGAGCTCAGTCTTTTGCAAAGTTGGCTGGGTTCACCAGAGCCAGCATCAAAATGTTCATGAAAGGCCCCTGCTCCTTAAGACAGTGGTCCCCAAACTTTTGATGTCATGCTCCCCCTTACCCATAATGTCATCTGTCTGCACCCCCGTGGGAGCCAGGGCCGGGAGCGGGGCCAGGGGCTGAGAACTGGGGATCAGGGTGAGAGCTGTGACTGGGGCCAGGGCCAGGAGCGGAGCCACGACCAGAGCTGGGACCATGGTTGGGAGCTGAGCTGCAGCCGGGACCCGGGCTGCGGTCAGTGGCTGAGGCCAGGGCCGGGCCATGGTTGGGGGCTGGAAGCCGAAGCCAGGGCCTCAGCTGGGGTTGGGGCTGGGCTGGAGCAGAGATGGGGCAGAGTGGGGCTGGGTGGTGCTCCTTCCCTGCCCCCAATGGGGGCTGGGCTGGGCCCCATCAAGCCCCCCGAATGTTCCTCCATGCCCTGCTAGAGGGGGCCTGCCCCACAGTTTGGGGACCACTGCCTTACGGGGTTTTCTCAGCCAATGAATCCAGAATGCCTTCCCTGACACTCTATTTATACCGAAACAGGCTTTTGCCTTGATTCATAGCCAGGGCGATCTCCTGCCTGTTATAATGGTCTTTTTTGCTAATTTGTTCTGGGATGTGGCCAGGGTAGGGAAAAGAACCTTGCATTACATCCTGGCTGACTAGGGGAGGGGAACAGTCTGGTTTGAATGAGTTGTCACCTAGACACAGTATCCCTGGTGACTAATTTTTACCCCAAGTCCACCAAGCATACATTCAGTATAAATACTTTACTCCTTAAATATTACCCATACATACATCTCACCACGATTATTAATCTTGACAAGTTGTGAGCTGTCTGCAGATACTTCATAGATAAATAGCTTGTAAGCTGTGTTTGGTGTAGTCAGTTTGTCAGGTCTGAGCTGAGAGATGTTTGCAAAGAACAGGGGACTGTTTGCCAAGGGGTCTCTGTGTCTCTATGGGCGTGACCTTTGGCTAACCCTTACGGGTACCGAATAATTTCTATGTTCATCTCTTCAGCTGCCATGTTTCAGTGTGGATGTGATATGCACTTTCTGCCCTTTCTTTCTTCCCCAACCAGGAATATTTGATTAAAGAAGGAAAATTAAGTAGAGGAGCCATTGACATGATTGGTGACGTGCTGAATATGGATGGTAGTTTCCATCTGTCTTTTCTGGACTCTCTCATGGCCGATACTGCATTCAAAGAAGGGTAAGAAGAAGAGTATCTTTAATTACTTGCTTTATATGGAGAAGAACATGTATCTATGGTAGGATCTGTCTATCTATCCAATGAAGTTGATAAGCAGATAGACGGATCTTGTCCATCTATCAGTGCGACCAGTTGCCTTCTTTCAAGTAGGCACCGATGGTCTGAAGTGTCACAGAGGGCAGGTGTTCATTACTATATTTCTCTAGCCATACAAGGCAGGGGGCACCTCCACAAGGGATGAGACGAACATTATGGAAAGTGTCTATCTCTGGCTTCTATTGGGGAGAGTTCCTGTGGAATTCAGTAATTAAGTTCTGACAGAGTTGAGCGGGAGGGATAGCTCAGTGGTTTGAGCATTGACCTGCTAAACCCAGGATTGTGAGTTCAATCCTTGAGGGGGCCATTTAGGAACTGAGGTAAAAATCTGTCTGGGGATTAGTCCTGCTCAGAGCAGGACGTTGGACTAGATGATCTCTTGAGGTCTCTTCCAACCCTGATATTCTAAGAGTACCTGGAATAGTGATATTAGAGCATCACTCTGTTATACCAAGGGAACCCTTTGGTCAAATGACCCCAAATGAGGATTACTAATCCTACCCCGTCCCCAGGAGACACACCTAATTCTAAGGCAATCTTAGTAATTGTGCAGAATTCAGATCACGTAGAAGAGTGAAACTTTAACCAGAAAGCTGGTCTTACCTTTAACTACCGCAGACCTGGCACTTGCCTGTAATAAAAGGAGCCAGAATTGAAGTAGTCACTGGGGGAGGAGGGGTTATATCTTCAGCTAAGCAGCGCCTTACAGAGCCGCTTATTATTTTTGTGATATTCACTCCGAGAACTATTGACAGAAGCTGTCATTCTTCTACCGTCATCTCCTCCCCACCCCCTGCCTTTCTTTCAGATTTGATGAGATCACGGGGGGATTCGATCAGCTCCCAGAGGCCTTCTACAAGTCTATGCATAGGGATATTCAATTTCAGTCCACAGTGGCGAAGATACTACACGACAATGAAAAAGTGAGAGTGTTTTATCACAGGCCACTCACACGGCTCCTCTCCTCAGTGACGGCCGACTACGTCCTTGTCGCAACCACAGCAAAAGCCGTACGGCTCATTAAATTTTCTCCACCTCTTTCCTCCAACAAGACCCATGCCCTGCGCTCCCTCCACTACTCACAGGCTGTGAAGATTTTTTTGGCCTGCAGGGAAAAGTTTTGGGAGAAGGATGGAATCTATAATGGGAGGTCAATCACTGATCGCCCATCCAGATTCATCTACTACCCCGGCCACAACTTCTCCAGTGGAGTGGGGGTGATCCTGGCTTCCTACACTTGGGATAATGATGCTGAATTCTTCATTCCCCTTAGTGATGAAAAGTGCGTCGATCTGGTACAGGAGGACCTGGCAGAAATCCACCAACTGCCCAAGACTTATATCCGGAACGTCTGTGATAAACATGTGATCAAGAAATGGGGCCTGGACAAATATGCGATGGGAGCATATGTTTCATTAACCCCGTATCAGTTAGTCGACTACTCCAAAGCTTTGTTTCAGAACGAAGGGAGGGTCTATTTCGCAGGAGAATACACCGCTCACCCTCACGCCTGGATCGAGACGGCTATGAAAGCTGCCATGAGAGCAGCCAGGAGCATCCATGGTGCTGTCAATGCATCACCCAGTGGCAACAGAAAGAGCTGAAGGAAAATGAAATGTAATGGATTTATGAGTATTTGGTGGCGGTACAAACCCACGGGGATTCTGACGGGGGAATTAAAACTTGCACCGCTGATCATCGAGCATCCTTCTTGTTGTGGTTGTGCTGGTGGTAGCGCCTCACATAGGCGCTGACTCCGTGGGTGGTCCGGGGCTGGAGAACCCACAAGGAAAAATTGGTGGGTGCTCGGCAGCTCCCCGTGGCCTTACCCCACCCTGCCCTGCCCCAGCTCACCTCCACCTCCACCTCCTCCCCTGAGTGTGCAGCCGCATCCTGCTTCTTTCCCCTCCCTCCCAGAGCTTGTGCCGCCAAACAGCTGATTGGTGCAAGCCTGGGAGGGAGGGGGGAGGAGGAGGAACGTGCGCGCTTGGGGAAGAGGTGGGGCCAGGGCGGGGATTTGGGGAGGGATCCAAGGGGGCAGGGAAGGGGCAGAGTCAGGGTGGGGCTGGGGGGCGGGGCCAGGGCAGGGATTTGGGGAGGGATCCAATGGGGCAGGGAGGGGGTGGAGTCGGAGCAGGGCTGGGGCAGAGTTGGGGTGGGGGGGTGTTGTTAGGGGGCTTATTCCTTCACCCTCTCACTTCCCCCTGGTCCTTCTCGCATGAACAGAGAGCAACAATACCCGAAGTCCAAAGGCGCAAACAATTTGATATTTTTTGGGGTGAACTTCCAGCAAGCATGATTCCAGTTTCCTTCCTTAGTGTCCCCCTTCCCAGCTCTGACACCACAGAGCCTTGCCTGTGTCCCTGTTCCCATTCCCCCCCCTTAACAAAACATAATCCCAATTCCCCCCGTCCCTGTTCCCATTCTCCCCCTCCACTTCCTGATTGACTGCAGACTATATAGTAAAACTTGAGTTCTGCTTAGCTATACCTTAACCAATCATTTTACTGAAATTTAACTAACCAATCCTAACACGGTTATTTAACCAATTATATCCCACCACCTTAATTGGTTTACACCCAACAAAATTAATTATACAGCAGACAGAAACAATCACAGAACCAGACAGAGATTATACAGACAAACAATTGGGAAGTGGAGACTACAGTGATAGAACAATACAGAAATGGGGATTTTACATCCCAGCTATTGATAAGTGAGTTCTTGCCAGACAGGATGCTATCAAACTAAGTTTCCTTTTACATCTTCTAGGCTCTTCCCTTTCTCTGGAGGTGATAGGAATATCAGGACAGGATTGTATTCCTATCAGCCCAATAGCACCTTATTTCCATATGACTAGTTTGGAATGTGAGGATGTGACTGTTCACTTCTCAGTTTATGGCTGCCTCTGCTGCTTAGCCGAAGGCCTTACTTAGCCTAAGAACCAGGCCTCAGACTGTCACAGTGAGAGAAGGCCCTTTCACAAACAGACAGTGATTTTGATTCTTTCTTTTATACCTCTATAACTAGCTAAGTGATAAGAATACACCTAAATTGTTAAAGTATAGGCCTTTACAGACAGGCCTGAATATCTATATCCTAACAGGGGTGCGAGCACCCACCGGCGCCAACAAAAGTTGGCGCCTGTGGCGCCTCGGTGTCCCACTGAGTGAGTCCCTTCAAAAAACCCAGAACAAAAAAGAGCGTGTGCCTGCCTATGAGGGGGTGTTCAAACTCCACACTGGGCACCAAGGAGCTCAGCGATTATTTTGGGCTCAGCCAGTCCCGCCCCGCCACACCTGCAGCAAATGCTCCATCTACTGGAGGCATTCAAAGGCAGGGAATTAGCTCACTTGGGTGGCAGAGCTGGAGGTGAGCAGACCTACAGCCCACATCTCCAGCAGCACAGAGCA